ACCCTTTGAGCAACCTGTTCCTCTCCTCACTTGGGGGGGTGCTGCATCAAGAACTTCTGAAAGAAACAATACAAAAATCTCTGAAGAAGACACTGAGTGGAATTTTCTTTCTCACCAAATGGACAGATTTTATGAAGCTCATGGTGTCAAATTTTAGTAGCAGTAGTAAGATTTCTGTTTTGTCTTTGGTAAAATACCATAAGCCACTTCTTTTGCATTTGTTTTGATTGAATTTACCCAGAATGCCCGGCAGTGTAGTCTGTTTTCTGCTTTTGGAGTATTCTCCGAAACCAATGTTTGTAAGCAGACCGGAGTTCACTTTTTTGATCTGCACCAGAGTTTGATCTGCACCAGAGTTTGATTGCGCATTCACATTTCCACAAACAAGCCAGACTTCCCAGGTAAACGAACTAGAGTTCGATTAGAGCTCACTGAACAGGACCGGTGTGAAAGTCTTCATGATGCCACATGTGGAAGTAGCACAACAGTCATTTTTTGGAAGAGAAGAGTGAAAAGATTGCAGTGAAAAAGTCGAATACGGGCCAAAAAAAAAGGAGTCAGATTTAGGTGGTATCTGCTTGCTGTGACTAAAACGTAAAACAAGCATGACTTTAACCTAAATGCTCATTTTACAGCAAAACGCAAATACTGTTGGCATCCATTGGAAATTGCTATGAAAATTATCCACATTACAAGTTAGACACAAAACCATACCAGTGCTCTGTTCTGGCTGCATAATTTGTGAACCAGTTTAGTATGTTAACACTGTTATATTCTGCAGAATGCATCCCGTCACTGCCGTAAACCAGTGATAAACGCCGGCGACGGCGTCGGGGAACATCCCACCCAGGCCCTGCTGGACATCTTCACCATCAGGGAGGAACTTGGGACGGTCAACGGGATGACGGTAAAACCTGGGAAACTCAGATCCTGACCTGGATCAGGAGCACAACACTTACGGTTTGTTTTTCTTCTAGATCACGATGGTTGGAGACCTGAAACATGGCCGCACCGTTCACTCTCTGGCCAAGCTGCTGACTCAGTACCGCATCACTCTGCGCTACGTAGCGCCTAAAAACCTCCACATGCCTGCAGAGATCATCAGCTATGTGGCTTCGAAGGGCATCAAGCAGGTGAACAGCATAATTTCTTAAATGAGCAAAGGACAAAAATACCAAGATATTATGCAACCACAGTAAATAAGGCTTTCATATAATGGAAAAAAATCTAAAACTAATTCAATTTTATGTTACACATGTCAATTAATCACAATTAATGTAATTAATCGTTTCAGCCCTCGTTTGAAGATCCCTAATTTATGTTTACATTCTCAGTGAAGCGATTGGTCAGAGTGGAGGAAGACATTTTTAGCTTATTGTATGGGAAAATGTCTTGATCCATTTTTCACTCATCACTATAACTTTTTCAGTAATATTAAGGAATCATTGAAGTAAAACTAGATCTTATTTCTTGCTGAAAAGATACTTGTAAGTTTGTACACATGAAAAAAGATTAAACTAATGTATTTGCACTAGAGAATTGACCAAAAATACTTTAAGATTTTGTGTTTTTGCAGTGCACAGATGAACCCAGAGAGTAAAAATGACTTCCAGCATATAAACTGATTAGTTTTACTTTTGTAACAGGAAGAGTTTGACAGCATTGAGGAAGCTCTGCCTGAGACGGATGTCCTGTACATGACGAGGATCCAGAAGGAGAGATTTGGATCTGAGGATGAGTACAAAGCTGTAAGTTGGGTTTTGGTTTTAAACATTCAGAGAATGTTATGAAGTAGAGCTGCGACTAATGAGTATTGTAGAGATCGATTCATCTACCGATTATTCTGACAATTAATGGGAATAAAAATGGCAAATTCTCGAGTTTTTTGTATTTAACCATTTATTAGAAATACATAAAAAGATGTGATAAACTAATAATTAACATTTTATTGCCTAATATGTAATACTGTAACATTCCTTTAGTAAATTAGAACCCAGCAAAGTTAAAATTATACCACTTGAGATGCTAAAACAGATTTACAGATTATTTGATTTTTATCTTAAATGCAAAATTTACATCCTCTGAACATTTTTGGCTCTTTTGATGAAGTATTGTTTTTCCCCAAATTACATTTTTTGAGTCTTTTTCTTTTTTGTTTATTTACTCCTGTTAGTGATTAATTATTACTAAATTATTTGATGATTATTTCAATAATCCATTAAGTAACATTGTATTGCCTAGTGTGCAATAACATAGCATGCAGTTAGTAAATCTGAATTAATTGAAGCTAAAACTATAGTTGTTGATTATTTCGATTCGTCACAATTAATCGTTCCAGTCCAGTTATGAAGATCCTTAATTTCTTGTGTTTTTATTAGTGTTTTGGTCAGTTCATCCTCACTCCTCACATCATGACTGTTGCCAAAAAGAAAATGGTGGTGATGCATCCACTGCCCAGGGTCAACGAAATCAGGTGAGCTCCTTTTTTATTGTGCAGTGAAGCTCATTCAAGAAGCAAAAGCTTTTCGGAGTAACTTGATTTTTTCCTTTTGTCCCGTCAGTCCGGAGGTGGATACAGACCCCAGGGCTGCATATTTCCGTCAAGCTGAGAACGGCATGTATATCAGAATGGCCCTCCTGGCCACCGTACTTGGCAAATAAATCCATATTCCAGTTACTTGTAGCACAACAGGTGAAAGTTGGAAGCGCTACAATGCAATATTTCTGTTTTTTCCTGAAAATCTGTAAAAATGTTATTAGCAAGATGACAGGAGAACATATTGTAGATCATTAGTTTTAGTTAGTTTCTAAGATGTTGCTTTAATGTTACACTTTTATGCCTGGTTTTTTTCCTATTTGAAGCTATTTGGTGGATGTTGGTGGGACTCTTAAAGGAATTTGAAAACAGATTATTCCTTTATGCTTATGAAATGCATATTCTGTTGGCTAGAGGGACCAGTTCTGCTCTGACCAATCATGATACCAGCTGTTGTGGAAAATATGCATTTTCTAGTAGAATATTCCTTAAAACTTGATTAGTGAAAATAGAAAAACACAGGTGTTCTTTAACCGTTGTCTGTTTATAAGTATCAACTGTAACTGTCAAAGCTTTCTTTTATTGTAACTATTTTTTTAAAAAATGTTTTTTAGTAAAAAAGTGTTGTTGAACCTGAAAAATAAAAAGATTTTTCCAAATCTATTGTAAAAATTGGTGTCAGAATAATTTGAACGATAAATGGTAGCAATGTTTGACATAAAGACGTCTGGCTTAAGATTTGATAGCACTAAAACAAACATTACTAAAAACTAGACTAACTAAAGGCTTATAAACAATACTCAACAACATTAATCTATTTTATTATTACATAACATTTTAAAAAAAACTTTTTTCAGGGCCGGCCCAAAGCAAAGCAAACTCAGCAGCCGCATGGGGCTCCAGATGTGGAACTGATTTTAAAAGAAATTTTCAAAAATTAAGATTTCTATGTGACTATATTAACAAAAACAAACAAATTCATTATAAGGTTTACAATATATGTTTGATAATGTATGTGGAAATCTTTCATATTAAAAAAGAAACATTAAAAAAATAAATTGCTCTTTCCCGCCCCCTGATGGCCGCGGTATGTACTGCACGGTAACGTGAGTGCATATCCAAACCTCCAAAGCTCTGGTGGAAGATAAGCAACTAAAACAATGTAGCACAAAATAACTTATCCTTCAGGGAGAGAGAATAGAATAAATACAAGATAAAGTTTTTCTTGGTAATGTTTATCAGAAAGAATTTTGTAGCTGCTAATAGAAACTTAGCTTAATAGCGACCTTGAACGGTTCAGTTCAACAGCGAACATTTATGCTACAGTGTTTGTATTCGTGTGAAACAGTTTCAGCTTTAAATGAGTTGATTCTCATGGTTGGCCCTGTATATTTCTGAGGTCTTTAAGCTTTTGATCACGCTTGATGACAATAATTAAGACTTCTCAACATTTGACATAGTTTGGCAAACTGTTTTTACATCAGGCTACATGACTACTGCATTTATACATTAGTTTACTGCTAGGCATGATCATTTGTGTCGACAACAAACATTTTTAAATCAAGTTATGTGAAACTTCTCCAATTAAAATTGTTTGAAGGCTCAGAATCAGCCCAGTACTGATCCATATTCTCAGGTTGAAAGACTCACCTGGTATAAGTTAAATGTTTATTGTAATTACACTTGAGATAGATTTATTTAATCAAAGTATGTCATGAATATGTGTGTGTGTATTCCGTTTAAATAGGGCTGCACTGGTTGCAGTTTTCTGGTTGATTGCTGCTTACTGATCTTTAATATTTTGATTTTGGTTGATATGAATTTTGTTTTCTCTGAAATGTTGCTAAATGTAACAAGAGGGTCACTGAATGAGCGACATTTGGGTGAATATTGTGAACTGTAAACATGCAGTCCTGACCTGGTGGTCTGTCAGTCAAACCTCTCACTTTAGTAAAATTTCTCCCTACGTTACCCACTGTAACGTTCCTGAAAATACAGGTTTTTATCAAAAAAATACGAAAGATTCCTCGAATTTATGTTGAATGGAGACCTCCTGTTAGTACACAAACTTTATTGTTTTATCTACTGAGCATTTTTGAAGGTGGAGATACAGAAAAGATAACTAGGTATTATTTTTATGTTTTATATTAAAAAACAGATTGATAAAGATGTTTCTTCTGCCTGAATTTGTACTTATTGTCTTTATTTGTAGTAATTCTTTGATATTAGTCTTTCAAATACCAAAGTTTTTGCATCATTTATATTTTTAAAATTGTTTTAACACTTTTAGGCATTAAATTAGATGTTCAGACAAAATGAAATAAAAGGTATTTGTTTATTTTTTACTTGGGCTTGAGTATAAAAATGTCACTCTTGAGTAAAATGTTCGGTTCTCCACCCACCCCAGTTTATTCCACGGTCAACTTTTTTTTTCTGATAAGCGGATTTGGGCCTTGAACGCATCACTCCGCATCCTGTATTTCCTGGAAGGAGGAGCGACCCGGCAAGCGCAGCGAGCCAGCAAGTAGCGGGTGTATCACTCACTGCCTTTCCGCCGGGATAACGGAACTGTGTGACCCGTTAACTGCAGCATAAGACGTTAAACCGGATGCCTCTATGGTCCAGTTAACCTTACAGCGAGATTCACGGTGTTCAGTTTACTCAAGGTGAGGCTTTTTTTTAATTTCTGCTTGGACGTTACCAGTTAGCTTAACGTTAGCTAACGGCTCAAACTAGCGAAGCCTGAATGAATTTAAAAGATTTTTAAACGTATTCTCTTTTTTTTTTTTAACTGAATAGTCTGTTTTTTAAAATAAACACATTAAAATGGAAGAAATACGTGGGCACTGGTGTGTTAAAGTTCCATCTGTTAACAGCTCGAGTCGGCGTATGAAGCCACTTCGGAAACCCGATTAAAATGCGAAATAAGTAGAAACGGCTGCTGGGGCTACGCTGTTCAAAATGGTACATTTATGAATGGCGAGGTGTAAAATAGGAAGGAGTTGTCCCTTTGCAAGGGGGGATTAGCAAAGGATTAGAGCTCCACAAGGACAAACAGACGGGAATCTTCCTTCATTATTCTAAAACAGCATCCAGATCTCAATATTTATACCACAGGATGGCTGAGTGATGATGCCTCACAAATCAGCCTCAGAATAGAATGTGTGACGATCCAGTTCACGAACCTTTCGAGGATTTAAACACTGATCATCTTTATTTTAGCTGTGTCTAATGATGTTGAGGATTATGACTCCACGCATAAGTCTTTTATAACATTTTTGACATAAACCTTTTTCTCTGCAGCTTTTGCAGTGGTTAAGATTTGTATGGAGTGATCATGTTTTTGTTTTTTAACTTAATATTCAGCCATTTCTACAGATAGTAACATTTGTGTTAGTTGTTTGTCAAAATAAATTACTCAGAATTCCGACTTTATGCTCAGAATTCAGAATTTTTTCTCAGAATTCTTTGATCTGAATTTTCTTTTTCCCCCCAGAATTCTGACTACACTTCACAAAAAAAATCTGATTTTAAGAATTTTGACGATTTCCCCTCTTAAGAATTATTTTCCACTAAGATTTCCATCCTTTTTCTCAAAATGCATGGAGAATCATAATTAATGGGTTACAACAACGCTTAATTAATAACGTTTTTTTTTATTATTGAACAAAAAGAAAGCTTAGCATACTTAAAAATTGTAATCCAGTAATACTTGGAGTGCACCAATGCCGTAAGGAGGTGAGAGCCAAGTCTAAGCTTGTGTCTGATTTATTGTTGCCATAGCAACTCCATAGCTCCAAGCTCAGAACTCAGATTGGGATTAAAAGTCCAACACGTTTTTACAGGAAGTTAGTTCTTCTCCTGCATGACTCGCATCATAGCTGCTACTCCCAGCTGTCCTTCTGCTTTAAAGTCAAATTATTATTTTTTATTTTTTTGGTGGCCCTAAAAGTAAAGCAATATACTGTAATAGGTTATTTTTTTACTTTTCTTTGACTCTTTAAAGCCTGCGTGAGACTCCACCCAAAGTTTTATGAGAATTCAAATATGTAAAACAAATACAAAAAAAACAACAAATGTTTGCTTTGGGAGTGGCATTTACACACACAGTAGGAGAATAGTACAAATCAATACATAGCAGGGAAAATCCTCCATAGACTCCTGCATGTTTTGATATTTCAGGTATTAACAGTTTTCTGCAGGCGTTGATGCATAATACATTTTTTAAAACATCTTTGTTGCAGCAGGAAAACCTAAAGGACAGAAGGACTTTGAACCTTAAACCAGATACTGTAGCTTTGCATGCAGGGAAACTCTCTGGTTAGCTCAACAAGAAAGCCAAAACAAATCATTTATATGTAAAAAAAAAAAATATATATATATATATACTCCTAAAACACATCAAGCTATTAGATGTGACTAATGAAAACAAAACTGACAGGAAATCTACTTGGCAGCATAGAATATTGTAGAAAATCTTTCCCTCTCTGTCAAAAGCATTTTCAGATTCTTCACAATCAGGAAATTCTTCCTGCTTACAGATTGTTTTGGTCCTTTTGAAAATGACAGACAATTCACATTAAAGTATTAGTGAAGCAAAGCACACGTTCAGTACTTACAAAATACTTGTGTATTTTGTGACTTACTTCACAAAATACGCCACAAGAGACTTGATTGGTATCCTGATGTAACTACAGAGGTTTTCAGCATCAGAAAATAAAAAGTAGAAACGTGAGGCGGATATATTTCACAGAAAAACTTTTTTTTTCTCTGGATGCACAAAAAGATCCAAGAATATAAAAATGCAGTTTGTGCTGTGCTGTTTTGCAGTGACGCACAGTAGGAATTTCCTAAGTGCTGTCTTACAGTAGCTGTAATTTCATCACTATTTTTTTCCTCCATAAACATTGAGTAAATATTTATGCCACTGATTGTCTGCTGACCATTTTTTAGCCCATATCTTGTTTCTCTTTTAAGTGTATGACGTTTTGTTTAACATGAATGCAGCAGACGACTGCAAGATGACTTTTAAGAAATGCTGATTGAGGAACCTGACATGCGCTGAAAAAATGCATTATGAACAATGTTGAATTATCTCGGACTGAAAAAACTTTTGCAAAGCCAAATTTAAAAGGTCTAACTGCTTAAAAGGAAAGTATAAAGATATTTGTTGCTGTATAAAGTTGTGCACTGCAGTGCATGGAAGCTACTGAGGGCTGATTGATTTTCTTTGTTTGCTTTGGGTTGCATTTAGAGCGACTGGTGGAGCTGGTGGGAACGTTTGATCCTGCAGGAATTAGGTCACAATCAGTATGGCTAACTCTTACCTAGTTTATGATTCAGCTCAAATATCCTTAAATTAAGGCAAAGGTGTTTCCTTTCAAACCACTTATTCTTTAATGTACTTACTAGGGATGCACCATTACACGTTTTTACTGAAATATAAATAAATTGTAAAATATATAAGAAAGCATAGAATTAGACCAAATAGATCTGCCCTCAAGGACTTGACATATTGTCACGATGTCGAGATCAATACAGATATTAATATTGTATGTAAATTGTTTTGTTTTTAAAGTTTGGATGATGAAAATGTTGGAAGAGTTGCTATATTGTGTGTAACCATAGTACTGTAATAAGTAGTAGGGCTGCATTTAATGGACCATCTGGATTATATAAGATAATCTGGTCATTTCTAAATTGATTTATTTGACCTATCAGATTCATCTGACTTCAACCCCAAATTCAGCCAATCTTCCTCTAATGTTCACTTATCCGATTACAGATATTTGTTCTCCTACTTGTCACGCTCATTTGGTTTTATTCTTTCTAGATGTTTGGTTATTGATCCAACTGCTGATAAAACACCCGGTTTTTTCACAATTTATGTTTTTTCACCCTTTTAGCAGCTCACACTTCATTATATTTGTTTATTCAGCGTTACTAGTGATTTATAACTTGGTGACTCCTCATTGAGTGTTTTATTTCTTTCATAAAAGCAGCATTTTGCTGAACATTTGAGATGAAAAGTTGTTCATTTTAGTTTAATTTTGGCTACATTGGTTGTCCAGTTTATTGCTGCCTGTTGTTGGTGTCACAGTTAACTTGCTGTTCATCTTCCAGAGATATTTTTAACTGATTATTATTTTTGGACTAAGCTGTCCTGAAAAGATGTTTTCACAGAGTCAGATCTTAATAGGAACGGTTGCCTGCAGCCTTCACATGATTTTTCCTTGGTTGTTGTCTTTGACAAGACGCTTTGAGTTGGCAAATGCTTCAAGGTTTTTCTACTATTAATAGCTTTTGTTTTTAAAACGGTTCTCTGTTGATTACAGTGATTCAGTTGTTTTACTCAGGGTTTCTCAGGTCGACTAAATATTATGTGTAGATTCTTTTTTTCTTTCATTTTTTAAAATTTCTTATCAAATTATAATACAGCATCATATATGAAACTTAGAATATTATGAAAACTTCAGAAAGTGACTCACAGATTCATTACACACAAAGTGAAATATTTTAAGCTTTTATGCCTTTTAATTTTAACGATTATAGATTTTAACAGTGTCTGAACTGTCTGTTTTATGGAGCTTATTCAAATTTTCTGAGAAGCTGAAAATGTAAACTGTGAGTGGTACTGTCATGATGTATTTTGTTGGATGATAAATTGTTCCAGAAATAACTGCAATATATCATATTGTTTTGAGATCATTTTGAAATAATATATTGAAAATTGCAAATCAGTGAATGTTCACCCTCTCAAATACCAGAAAACCTTTTTTTCTTTTGTAAAGAGCATCTAACATTGGAACTGGAAGATTTTTAAAATATACAAGATAAAACCAACAACCAAAACAATAAATAAATCAAAAATAAAAACCACACAACCGAAAACATAAAAAGATTAGATCATGTTGTCTCTGAATGAAATTGGATTTGAATTTTCAAAATGAAAATGATCAAGCCCATTGATTGCTAATTGCAACAGGCTTAGCTGTGAGCCAGAATCACCTAGATGACAAGAAATACAGGCTTGGAATATTTACTCTGTACAAAAATATTGAACTTGTAGATTTTTTAATTATTTTAATTTTTTTGTTTCATAATGAAACACCACAGGCCTGTTTGCAGAGCTTGAATCACAAAGACTGCAGTTGCTCCATTAACCTAATAGGCCTGGCTCACTGATACCCGATCGATAGCTGTAGTGGTGGCTGGATCAGTAATAAAAAATGTTTATGTTCCAAAGAAAAGCTCTACTTTATGTCTCCAGTTCTGCCAGTTAGTGCTGTATTTACAGCAGCCATCTTGGCTCCAGCAGGAACGCCATCTGGACCTGTGGCGTTTCTAACATTTTTGGACCAAACATTTCCGTGTGATCTTTATGCAAGATTTATTTCAGTCCAGAACCTGACTTGGCTTCTTCTCTTTTATCATAGTTGTTAGACTGCAGGTTGACATCCACTGCTGTCTGTGTTCAGATATTTGTTTTCAATGTGTGATGATGATTAAAGTCTTTCAGCTCCAGTGAGTAGAAACTCACTGTAAACAACGTATGTTCCTGTTAAAGGCTGCATTTCTTATGTAACTGGCAGTATTTCTCCAGCAGTCCAGGCTGACAGATATCATGCTTCCATATATTTTATTCTTCTAATCCAAAATTATTGCACACTGAATATATATCCAATAGGGCTGCAGCAAATGATTATTTTATTAATTGATTATTCTGATGATTAATTGATTAATCAGATTTTTAAAAGGGGTGCTTTCTGCAAATATTTCAATTAACCATGTAAGCCTTTTTACATGGTTTTAATATTAGAAATACATTTAAAAAAATGAAAAAAAAAAAGCAAATTATTTTTTGAATAAGAAAATGAACATTCATTGCTTATACTGAAGTAACAGGAGGAATCGGCTGATCATTTGTAGCTTGCAATGCATCAGTCTACTAATTTATGCTTTGCAATAACTATTGGATTACAATAAAAGATTGTTTTTTCAGAATTTCAACCAGGTGGAGTGAAAACTTTGCCACCTCAGAAGTTAGATTTATAAACAAATGTTGTTTTTTATCTTAAATGCAAAATATTTGTACGGTATCTTTTTGTTTTGTACAGCTTTAGCATATTTTCTGCTTCAGATGTGCTGTTCTTTCAGCAGATGGCCATTTTTAGCATTCTGTATACTCCAGCAATTGATTAATAACTAATCAATTACTAAATTAGTTGAAGATTATTTGAATAATTGATTAATCGCGATTAATCGTTTCCCCCTTAAAACAAAATCACTTCTAATGTGGTAAATGTCAGTATCAGCTGTTCCCTTATTCAGTTTATGAGTGTGTCACTGTTTGTCATGACATGGATATCACATGTTGATGCTTTGAAGTTTTCTGTGTTTGTAAAACCAGGAAGTGACTTTAATCTTTGCCACTGACCCATTTTAAGAGTCGGAATGTGAAACTGCTGAGTGAAAGTACCATCTGGTGCAGTTGTGAAAGGGATGTAAGCAGCATGAGGCTCTTAACTAATTAGATGAGACAATAGAAGCAAAGCTGCTTTCTGCTGTGCTGGAGATGGAATCATTCAGAGGATTTTCCCAGTAAATGTGTAACTGATCTCATTGGAGAAAAACTGACAAATAGGGTAGCCATTAGCTCCACCAACCAGAAATGCTGCTCGGCTTTAACCCTCTCAGGCTCAAATTACTTGCAAAGACTAGCTAAGTAGCACTGAGCTGTTGCAAATCTGCAACATCTGCCTGGAGAGATCGGTTTCTCCATGAAACCGATTCTAAAGCTAGTAGTTTAATTCCAGCAAAAGTAAGAAAGGTTTATGTGTCCAAAAATTAATGTACTGTAATGAAGATAATTGTTTCAGAAAAATGAAATATCTTATTCTGATGATCAGAAATCAATCAGATCAAAGAACTGCAGTTTTTTGCAGTGAATTCAAACTATGATCAATGTCAGGCTAAATAAAAACGGGTCAGTAGAGGTTTATTTAACTGTTTTATTTGTTTCTCTCCGAGTTCATTAAGTTTGTGATTCTTAACTTACATCAGAAAACTTCCATTATATTTGTTGTTGGCTGAGATAAATCTGACTTATTTTAGATTTTTTTTTTTCCAAGTCAGGATTTTCTGTAAAGATCCCATAAGTAATTTTGAGCTGTTTGTCCAATTGATTAGACTTGTTTGATTTGCCTTTGGCAGAAGAACATTTTCCCCTGCCAACTTGTTTTGTATTTTTTTATTCCCTGTGGCGTCTGTGTGTGGATGAGCGGTTTTGTTGTGTTTGGGCCGCCTAAAGCGGTCCAGTCAGACTCTGACCGGGACGCTGGCCTTGTCTGACGTAGACTTGGATGGGTAATCTGTTAGATCAGCAAAATGTAATCTTCTTTACTCAATGACCGCTGTGGCATTATTTGTATGGCTGAGTAATAGATGTGCTCGTTTTGTACGTTGCCATGGTTCACCAGGAATCCGTTTGTGTAGTTCAGTAAAAAGTCTTTTGTTGACGACTTTTCCTATGTTGAAATGCTTTCAGTTATGTTTTCTTTTCCAGTTAAACGCAGTATGGAAGTGGAGAACCGTTGGACGGATAAAGTAGCATTTGGAAACCAGTGATTAATCCATTTAAATGTCCATTAATTTATTTCATTTAACAAATACAAACAATTCATTTTTGATTGTTGATTATTGAACAATTTGTCACAGCCTTTTTCATTTTGTATCCATGTTTTTACCCATTATGTGTCACTTTTTTCCTCATCCTATTTAGTCAATATAAGCGAGTAAATATTGTTAAAATGCTCAGATCTCACTTGCTTTTATATTAAACCTCCTTTGCTTGTGGTTATGAACTCTGTTTGGAACAGTTGATGTTGGTATTTTATAACTTATGAACCCCTAAACAAAGCAAACCTACATGTCCTTACAATAAACTTTGAATAAATTATTCAAGGTTATAGAAAACAAGGCGACAATAAATTTAAGTTTATTACCGTTTAAAATTTGATAAATAAATACTTTCAATAAAACTACAATACAATTATTGTAAAAACTAATTTAGTCTTTCATCAAGAATTGTTTTTGCAAAATTTAAGCTTGACATAAATCAAATTATTGTTAGCTCACATAGGTATATGTGCCAACATCTGCCTCACTGCACGCTCAGGTTGGGAGCCATAACTATGACTTCTTTATGCATTTTTTGTGTTTTTGTAACATGAAACACAATAATTTATTGTTTGTTTTTTATTTGTAGAGGTGAGCCATGGCTGAACAGAATTCTGCCCGTCCTCAGAGGAAGATGTCCACCTCCGGGGAGACCGTATATAAAGTGTTAGGCCTGGAGAAAGGCGCGTCAGCTGAGGAAATTAAGAAAGCATACAGGTGAGCTGACTGGATGTGTGCTAATCTGAGTCATTAACCTGTTTATACAGAGTCTCAGCTGTTTCTTTTGAAACACTCACCCTGTACTTATTTCTGTGAACTTCATGTTGAATTTTGTGGATGTGGGAGTTATTTTCACAAAACAGTTAATCTTCAAGTCCAAAGCTGATCGTTTGCCTCTGATCCCCTCTGAACTCTTTTCAGAAAACTAGCGCTGAAGTACCACCCGGACAAGAACCCAGACAACCCAGACGCAGCGGAGAAGTTTAAGGAGATTAACAACGCCAATTCTATTTTAAACGATGAGAACAAAAGAAGGATTTACGATGAGTATGGCTCCATGGGCCTTTATGTGTCCGAACAGTTTGGAGAGGAAAGTGTTAAATACTACTTCCTCATGTCCAAATGGTGGTTTAAGGTTAGTAACGCCGGTGGCCTTTCTCACATTTAACAAAATGTTACATTGTTTTGACGGCAAATAAGCAGCAACCTCCTTTAGCGAAAGCATAAATACATACTTAACACATACTAAACACATATTTAATAAATTTGTAAACACAGCTGGGTAAAGCCTAACGCTGACCTCTGATTCATCCTCATGATGCAATCATAGACATTTGTCCTCCTGCCAGGAGTGTAGATTAAAGCCAACATGGATCAGCAACTTCTGCAGTGTAATACCACACAATGTAAACAAATATGATGCTGGGCTTTTGTTGATGTTGTCAGAGGTGATTGAGCTGCTGATTATGTTGCTGTGGTTGTTTTTAGGTCTTTTGCAGTAAATATTATGACATGAAACATATTTTATCTTGTATCAGAGGCAAATTACTAAATCTCCAGTCTTATTTTCTTAGATGGCAAACAAATTCAGAGTACCTAAATGTTTCAGCTGCACTGCAGAACTGTTCAGAATCACATGTAATCTGATGACCCAACTGTTTGGAGATGAAGATTAAATTCTGTCGACCGTCATGACTAAGAAAAACCTGTTTGCACGTAAATCCCTGCAGAGTTTGGTGCTGTGCTGCACACTTTTCACCTGCTGCTGCTGCTGCTGCTGTTGCTGTTTCTGTTGTGGGAAGTGCAAACCCCCCGACGACGAGGAAAACTACCAATATGTTGATCCTGAAGACCTGGAGGCCCAAATCAGAGCGGATCAGGACGGAGGCAAGTTCTTCTGGGTCACTCTGGTTTATGCAGATTTGTTTTGATGAGTGAGAGTTCTGTTTGTATTAATATGGGACAACCAGTAGGTCTGTCACAATAACAAATTTTACTGCTTTTGTTGTTTTGAGACCATTTTCAAGTGATAGTAATGCAAGTTCACTCTCTCAAAGATCAATAAACTTTACATTCTATTGAAGATTTGCCACTGGAACCGGAAGACATTTGAAATATTTTAGATAAATTAACAAAACAAAAACAACTAAATTAATTATGAAGTCTTTGTGAACAAAATTGCCCTCCAGAAATACGGCTAGTTGAGACCAAAGCATCAGGCTGAAAACTTTTGTCATCCACTTTTTGGGAGAAATAGAGAAAAATGATAAATTATCCAAATGATAATTATTGCGCTAATTTTAATGTATTAGTTTATTACAACCAGTGTTTGGGTTGCAACTGTTTTTGTACATTAAGGGCATTTTATGTCAAATTGATGCAAAATCAACAAGGAAATTAATTTGTTGATAAACATTGATTAAGTTCAAGCTGCAGAAGCAGTTCAAGGTTTTTTCTTGTCATACAGAATAAAATATGACACAAACTTATTCTTTCAGTCACAGTTATGATTTAAAAATATTGAATTCTCAAAATGCTCAGAAGTAAAACAGCACCCTTCTTAGCAGGAGTTTACTACATCCTAGTGGTTGTATTAAACTACATTAAGCAACTTCACTGGTTTGCATCAGCAGAGGATTTAAAATGGACTCACACCTCAGGATTTCCCTGTTCCAATCCAACAGGTACCACTGTAATCATAATCCAGCCAGCATCCGATCTGGGTCCAGAAACCCCAGAGGAGCAAAGTAAGCCCATCCCCCTGCCCATGCCCATGCCTCCACCTGAGCCCCAGTCGCCTCCATCAGCCAACACAGCGGGGGAAGAAAACCCCAGAGACAGCTTACAAGAGTCTAAATGACTCGTAAGAGCCGCCTCCAATGACCTGTGTCCCGTCCTCTTCCCGTCGTTTCGTTTTTTGTTTTCCTTTATTTTTGTTATTTTACACGTCAGCTGTATTTTGTGGCTTCTGCTACTTGGCTAACAAAATCCTCCAGTTTTCCATTTAACCCCAACAATCATCCTCATGTTGATTTCTACATGCATGCCCCGTTCATCAACACGTTATCTGTGTGTGTCTGAGTTACGATGCATGAGAGATCCAGATGTTGTCCACTGATCCGAACCAAATACTCATTGAAATGAAAAAGGAAGCGCTTGCATTGTTCAGCACTCTGTAACACTTTTATCCATTTTGTTTGCTTTATAAAATCTGAGCTGCTGCTGGTTTCTATTTTTTACCTCTTTAATCCATGCTGATATGCATGGATTACATCTTGTATTATTGTTTTTTACAGGAAAGTGATCATGTGATTAAGTGTCAACTAGCTGACGCAAGAAGGTAAGATAATATTTTTGTTTTTCAGAATAAAAGCCTCAGCAGTAATCCTGTCCTATTCTCAAGTACTAAATTGATAATCACATAGTAATGCAAGTTTAGTTTCAGATTTTTAACTTTAGAAAAAAACTGTGAAAGCTATTCATTCTTCACAATCTAATGCTACTTTGTGTTAGCTTGTTGCATAAACTCCAGTAATAGTTGCTGAAGTTTGAATGTTTCGGAGCCGTTTGATCTGATCCCTGCCTCTGTTTTTAATTTTTCTTCAGCGTTTCACGGCTCTACTTCGATCCAGCTCCATCTGACTGCTGTGAGCAACCCAGAGAAAAGCCAGCCCAGAGTCACCAGCCAGCCCAGATCTCCTGCTCCACCTGACGCCCTCCATGCTAACCCAGCTAACGCTACAGACTGCTTCCATGGACCGTCGTGGACATCTCCGAACGTTCCCAACGTTCCCCCTCCTCTCTTCTAGTTCCTAAAATATCTGACGCTGGTTCTGACTGAATAAGTGTGTTACGCCAAAACTCCACCCCAGTCTCCTCTGGTCATTCCATTTCTAACCAGTAAGGACGGAGATGTGAACGAATTATTTATTTTATTGCTTTTCACCTCCTTTTTATTTTAGACACCGTTGCTCATCAGATGGAGGATTTTTTATTTTCGCTTTTTTTTACATATCCCCCACATTAACTTGCTTTTACTAACTCTGGGATAGAAAGTTGGTGATAAATTCAATGCCAAACATGTTAGAAACTCAGCTGCTCAGCAGAAACGAAACATTAACACGTGGACTCTTCCTCCCTTGTTCTTGTAAACAATTCCCACCGGTTATTGTTGCATCGACTCCCACCTAAACCTTGCTGCAGTCTCGTGATTTGATGCCAAACGTCTGAGCCAAGATGGAGAGGGGATCAGCATGCACTCATCGTTTTCGCCCTTTCCGCTCTCCCGCATGGAAAACCCAAACAACTTTTCAGCTTTTCCCTGCATACTCTGGTGAAACAGATCATGTGCACAAATACACACTCACACCAGCCCAGATGTCACTGTGTGCTTAAAAAAACCCAACAACAACCCCCACCCACAGTGAGACGAGCAGCGGCCGACACCAAACCGTGGAGCTCCGATGGACTGCAGGAAGAGACGTTAAATCAATGCTTTGAAGTTAGCATCATGCTCTTTTACACTATGTGGTTCAAACAGTCCACCGTTTACTCTGGCGGCCGGGTTCATGCTCCACCTCTTCTTTGTGTCCAAATTCACTAAGCTTAGAGTCTAATCTGATGTTTTGTCTTGGCTTCTTTTTGTAGATTTTCTTATTTGATCTCCTAATTATGAAAGAGAGCAAAGAGTAGCTGCGTTTCCAATTACAAATGTCTGCAAATCCTTGTTGGTATTCAGTTAATGTCGAAAAAACACAATTTTGTAGTTTCAAAGAAATGAAATTAAAAACGCGTGTGGATAAGCTTGTTCACAAAATAAGTCATTAAAAAACCCATCATCCTCATGCCACTTCCTGTTGTTTTCTTTTTCATAGTTTCTACCAGTAGTAACATCTGGCTATTGATCACTTGATTTATGTGATGCAAAAAAAAACTATTTCCGTTGCAGTTTTGAATTTTTATATGCCCAAATAAACCACTTCATCCTTTCGCAAAACCTTTTTCTAATCAAAAAACACAATTTGTTCTTTTTTATTGTTTTGTTTTGATTAGACAAATTTAGTTTTGGAATTTAAATTTGCGTAATTCTGTGAAAATGCAACTAATATCAAGGTCTGATCCTTGATCTACAATCCTGAAACTTGATACGTTTCTCTAAAGGAGGAGGACGTTTCCATTGATCATAAAGTTGAGCAAGTTAAAGTTATAAAAATACAACTCTCTGTTGACTTCTTTGTCATCCTACGCAAAAAACTTTACGAAAAATGTGAATGTTTCCATTAAGTAAATTTATGTTTGCAATTCCAGTTTGTGATTTTATGGTTAACAGCTACGACCCATTAAGTAGTAGATCAAACTCCTATCAAAAAACTAGTTTTTTTGTGAGGTTAGAGGTTTTTCAGCTGTAACAAAATTTGTGTTTTTCACAAATCTGTAATGGAAACATTTTTTTGTATCATGAGTGACGTGACCAACAACTGGATGTTACTACTGGCAGAAACGTTGAAGAAGACAATGACAGGACGTGATAGGAGGATGATGGCGCTGCATATTTTCTTTAATGACTTACCTCGTAAACAAACTCATTCATGCACGGTTTTGATTCATTCTGATTTGGAGGAAACACAGCAATTGCGAAATAGTTTTTTTTATATGTTAACATTAGTGGAATAGCAACAAAGTTTTGCACACATTTGTGATGGAAATGGAGCTGCTGACTTGACCTGAACTAAATTCAAAGTGTCTGACTTATCCGTTAAGTTCTGCATTATTTGTTTCCTTCAGGATGGAAATCTAAACCTTTACCTGCTGACTTGACACTGACAGTGGTGTGCCTTGAAGAATAATTGTAGTGGTTATAAATCGGATTAAGGTGTGAACGTTTGCAGTACATTCCTGCAGAAAATAATCCAGTCTGAGAATTTATGAGGAGAGAAAAAGGCTTTATCTCCTTTTGTGTTAGCTCAGGCAGCAAATCTTGCTTTAGTTTGGGAGTTTAAACAAGCAGAAAATAAATTCAGATCTTGGATATGGTTTATATACCAGCACAATTGTGCACAGCTTTATTGTAGGTCATTAGACTGAATGAAGTTTTGAACATTTTCTCCTGCTTTTGTGTCGTGAAAAACCACAATGACTGACCTGATTATCAAGTTAACATGCAAACATTATGATTATGTTATTAATATTTCAAGCAAAATGTTGAGTAAAGGTGAAGGCTAAAACCTATGGACAAAATTTCTCTTTACAGTGAGATCAAAACTTCTTTTCAACAAAGTTTCATTATGATCAAAATGGAGAACAAAAAAATGTAAAATCTTGAAGCAAAAAGGTTTATCGAAAGCTTTAAAAGGCGGTTTCTGTACATAACTGGTATGGAAACGACAAGCTAATCACATCATTATCAAAAACTATGACATTAAAATCCCAGATGAACAGTTAATAATTGAGACAAATTATTGCACTGATTACTTTAAATTGAAGCATAATTCTGCCTCTTTTGGATTCATGCCTTCTCTCTTGTCTGCAAGCTGTGATGCATTTAACTTCCAGTTATCAATAAGTAAAAATAGCAGTTTATGGCTGTGTAACAGTTTTCCTCACATTTTCCATGTCACTATTTTCTTTCATGCTATATTGTAATTTTCAATGGTTATCTGGAGAGTACTATAATATTAGTCTCACCCTTGTATTCATATTTAATAGTTTTTATGCACAAGAGAAGGGAAATAAAGACTAATCACTAACATAAATAATGCAGAAGCTAGTTTTAAATGGTTCATTTGGATAAAACTTTCATGTTTTTGGGTAAATTTTTAGCATTTGCTGTTTTCTCTCCTCAGATCTTGTTTGCTCATATTTTCTCCCAGCAGCTCAGGCTTCATGCTTCCCAGTCAGGTGCGTTAAACTAATGCAGAGCTGCAAACATCTCATTAAATCAGGTCAGATAAAAATATCTTCATCATGTTTCTCCATCTGCAAACAGGAAGTCATCTTGGATTTGCTTATATTAGTAGCCAGAACGAAAAAATTATTTGATATTAATCATCATTGACCCACTGAATCAAAATTAACTCTCCATGCCAGGAAGTAAACAAAACAGAAATGTTAAATCAAATTGATATATTGGTACTGATTGAAGGTTTATGAAGTGATTTAACTTTAGATGCACTTATGTTTTTATTTATGCTTTGACAAATGGTGGCGAAGTTCGACTGAAGTCAGTGTGTTTACTTTGAATCAAGGTTCAGTGAGTCAATCTTCACTCTGTTTGCTAAAAAAATAAAAGATTCATGGAGCTGATGTGCTTCCAGAAAAAAATATTTTTTTATTTATTTTTAGTTGGCTGGTTAAACAATCTACTGGATGTGATTGATTTCTTATGAAGAGCAAAGACGTTCTTGACCTGAACATGATAGAAAATGTTTCATCCTTGTACATAATGACTGTGATGAAATTCAGCTAAATAAAAAAGGGGGATTTTCTAATCTCTTGTCTGTTATTTTGTTATTAAATCATATTTATGAGTTTCCTGACCTGCAAATCAGCACCAGAAAAGCCCCGAATTGATTACTCCAGTTTTCTTAAGCAAATTCAAATAAAATTTATAGTGTGAAACTAAAGCAAATTGAATTTCACACAATATATATTTGATATGCGTGTGTTAAAATTTTTCAATCATGATTTCTTTAAGTTTGTTTGTGAAAAAATCTCGCATTTACTACCAAAAAAGTATTAGAAAACTAATTTCCCACTATTTGAATAGTTTGCATTTGGAACGTCATATGAGGATAAAACCGGATTTTGCAGATTAAAATAAAAAAAAATAAAGTTGTGCATTTCTGAACACTGAAACAGGCTCATAAATTAGTAAAACTGTGTGTTGAGCTTACTCTGCAGCCTATAAATAGTCCTGTAATCCCATTAGCAGCTCGGTCTACTTACCCAACTGCATAATGTTGATTAGCTTACACTTTGTGTGTTTTTGGCTGTCAGGATTTAAAACTGTTTATGAAGGAATAACAGTGTCTGGGTCATCCTGTGGACACAGTTATCATTGCAATAAACAAGATTATTCAGGTTAAATGCTTGTTGGAACTGAAATGTTTGCACATTCAGTTTTGCACAAGCTGATTGGTTAACAAGAAATTTTGGGTGGTGTTACTGTTTTTTTTAACTACAAAGATTGTAAATATAAAAACAACTCCCAACCCCAATAGGGACAAGGGTGAACAGATAATGGATGGATGGAAATATAAAAACATCTAAAACTTCTATACCAGTAAGGTACTGACATCAATAAAGGTCTTAGACTTTATAAAATTGTTTATTGATAGGAGACAGGTATGAAACATTGTATGCCCTTTAAAATGTGTAGAAATAATCCTGTATCCTCTACTAATTTGTGCATGAGTTGTGTTTATCATAACCTTCACATTTTGGAATAAAACAAAAATTCAATCCATTTGACGCCATCAAGAGAGGAGATCAAACCACCATTAGATGGCGATATTGAGTCCAATTGACATTTAATAGTCCTTTCAGTGAGTTTAATTTTGCTGTTTTATTTCAATTCATATAAGGAGAAAGCTCTGTTTTGGAAAATAACTTAATTATTTAAACACTCTTAAATATATGTCTTTAAATTAGAATTTCTCAAAAACACTGGATGTTTTCAAAATATCTTCATCTACTTTAGCTCTGTATTACGAAACTTTGGGAGTATGACCAATTAGTTTTTTGTTTTGGGCAATATCGGTGATTCTTATTGGATCTCGGAGTTATTTCATGTTTATGTTCGACTCAAACGCTCACACCAGACCTGGTCTTATCGGTGGTGCGTATATAAAAGCAGTGACGGCGCCGGTTTGGACATGGAAGGGGATGTAGCTCAGTGGTAGAGCGCATGCTTTGCATGTATGAGGCCCCGGGTTCAATCCCCGGCATCTCCAGTTGTGTTTTTTTCCTTTTCTGATTTCAGCCATTCCCTTAAATTTGAATAGTGAATTTCTTTTCTTATATATTTAAGTATTATTAATAGCTAATAATGTAGATCGAAGGAAAAAATTACACTATGTCACCTGTCATTATGCGACTTTGTAATTTATTTAGTCTTCTGAATAAAAGGGAAGACTTATCGACAACAAATTTAAAGGATTTAAAACTTGCTCTAATCAGCTTTATTATCGGCATTTTTTAACATTTGCTTTAACATTTTCGGAAACAAAAAAAAACCTAGCCATCAAGAAGTTTTAAAATTTCCGCCTGCTTTGAACGCAACACGGTTCCTCTCTCAGAGCGGTAACCAAGGAGATCGCAGCTCTGTTTACTACTAAGATGTCGTCCTTGCTAGCTGCTTCTTCTATCCTGGAGATGAACGGATAAATGGTCCAGTTCTAAAGCATTATTTCGGCGCTGATAACATCTCTTTGGGCTTCCTTTAGTTATTTTCAGAATGCAGCTGAAACATATTAAGACACTTTTAACCCCACAGGTAAGTTTTGAAGTCGGACATGTTAGCTACCGTTAGCAGATGCTCGAGATTAATGTGGCTAGCTTACGCGTTACATCAACAAAATACAATTTAACCCCCCTTATTCTCTCCATGCGAGCGTATTTTCATAACATGAATAGATATTTGACTTTGCTTTGTTTTGATAAAAATTTAATTATTTAGTAACTTGGAAACGATTAAAATTGTGGTATGTTATACTCCGGTTTAGTTAGCATTTCTGTTAGCGCTTAAAAAGCAACTTAATTGTTCAGTAGTTGTGTGGCTCTTTTTTAAATTATTATTTTCTTTCTTTTGCATAGGACGGTGCTGCCAAAGTGACATGTATGGCTTGGGCACCGAACAACTGCAAGTTTGCTGTTTGCACTGTGGACAGAGTGGTGCTGCTCTATGATGAGCATGGAGAGAGGAGAGACAAGTTCTCCACAAAGCCTCTGGACCCCAAGGTGCCACTTAAAACACATCCAAAATAATCATTTTACCAATCTGTTATGACATTTTAGGCGACTGTATTTCTTCTTAAAAACAACTTTACATTTAAATGTTAACATTTAAAAAAGTGAATTGCCATTTGCAGATAGATCTTATCTCCAAATGTATATGTGCAAATTGAAACTATTTGGTTAAAGCTTCTTTTTTGTACTTTTCACTGGAAATGTATCAATAAAACCCCTGACAGGTGCAAAGTGTGATCAATAAATTTGACTATGACAAGAAACAAAAAAATGAAAACATGGGAGATACACAGTTTTGCTCAACAGCAAACATCAACTTATACATTCTTTAAACAAACAGGGATATGTTTCTGCCATTTAGTTCTTTAAATTGATGATTATGGCTTATAGCTAATTAAAATCCAATATGCACTTGAATGACCATCTTTGAAAAGTGGAAATTAGTTAATTTTATGTTTCGACATATTACATCTGACATAAAATCAGACAAGATTTATACTAGAAATATTCCTCCTCCCTGTGCGGAAAAGATCCTATTTAATAAATCATTTATATACTCATGTAAAATTAGCATTTTTGAAATTAAATATCTCTCAAAATGGCAATTATGTGGAGAGTTACTACCTTAACTCTCCACATTTAATCCCAAATGGCCCAACTCTGTCTTCTGTTATTATTCAGGCTTTGTGAGACTTTACCACATTAACATGTAGGTATTGTGTGATTTGGCAGTATGGAAAACAGAGCTATGTGGTCAGTGATATGGTTTTCTCGCCGGACTCCATCAAAATCGCCATCGGCCAGTCGGACAACATCATCTACGTCTACAGAATTGGGGAAAAATGGTAAGTTGCTTCCACTTGGTTTGCTGATGAATCAAAACACAATGTTTTAACGTGAAAACCCAATCAGTGACTTACAAAATTAAAATAATTTGTAAGACTCTGAATTTGAGCATCCCTCAGATTGCCCAAGCATGGGTATAGAAAGTTGAGTGGAAGGACAAAGTGTGGTAGGAAAAGGTTAAATCCTGACCGAGTTAGAAATATCTGAAGTGATTCATAGTGAAACTCTGTATTTATTTGTATTTTTGGAAAAGTATTTAATTTGTGCATGAATTATGAATAACGTGTGGACCAGTTTTTCATAAGGTTTCATCTTTCATAGGGGGGACAAGAAAGCCATTTGCAACAAATTTGTTCAGACGGTGAGTGAAGAGAAGCTGAGCTTTCATAGGAAAACATTTCAAAATCTTCTCAATTAATGCTAATCTATTGTTCATCTCTAATTAGGTACAACACAAAGTATGTATCTTGTAATAACCTCAACTTTTAATGAATCTGAATTTGGTGGTTTTAATTCTCTTCAAACAAAAAGTTGCTAATAACAGAAACAACTTAATTCTATTTTTATTCTTTAAACTGAGTCTGAAGGAATTCACAAACTTTGTTTTCATGATGCAAACATTTAAAGACCCATTAATAAAGTTATGGATCTATAATTGTTTACACAACCTTTTTCTGACTACTTTATTTGTTTAATCAAATTATTGCAGGATTAGGTTATTGTTGAGCAGGTCAAAAAGGGTTACAACAATTTTCTTTCAGTAATTTATGTATTTTTTTTTATTGTCTTTTTTTTTTTTGCCCACAAACACTTTTGATGATATCCGTGTTTTAAATTTGAAAGCCACTGTGATCTCTACTTTAATGTATGAAATTTAGTCCCTAAAAGTGTTTTTTTGTTGTTAATTGTAGAGACATTTGTCCCAATAGTGGAGCAACTCCGCTGAGAAAGAGAAACTGGAACTAAAGAGTATTTAACTTTATCAATTGTGTTGCAGAGCGCTGTGACTCGCCTTCTTTGGCCTGCAGAAAGTGTTATTGTTTATGGATTAGTTGACGGAAAGGTAAGTCACTTCCACACCTTTTCAAAATTTATGACATTAATTTTGTATATTTAAGCTTGAATTAAAACAAGAAGGTGCAAAAATGACCCACAATGTTTTTTTGAGAAAAATGAATAAATCATCAGTTTATCGATTCTGCACAACTCATATTCTATAAATCTGATTTGTATTCCACTGATTGCAAAGTTACCATTTTGCAAAAAACAAAGAAAGTAACGAAGTTGTGATTTCTTTTCTTCTCAGGTCCGTGTGGCCAACACCCAGACGAATAAATCCTCCACCGTCTACACCACCGAGTCCTGTGTCATCTCTCTGACGGCTAAGTAAATGTCTAATCCCCACAGCGCCCCCTACTGTTATTAACACCCTGATAAAGATGTGCAAAAAGCCTTTAACCTAATCTCACTTGAGAAATGTAGGAAAATTCAACCTTTAATTGGAGTGTCAGTGGGGCTTATTAGTAATTCATCCCTTTGTATAATCAACCCTCTGGGTGATGAATGAGGTGGAAAATATTAGAAAATGACTGGAAATTTCAAATTTACGTCAGCCATCTATTTTTGAGCATTTTGCACAGCTAAACCAGAGTTTTTGGTGTTTTCATTTTAGGAAT